GGTTCTGAACCTTAACCCTGTTCCTAAAATTCAGCCCCATTGATAATTCCTGTGCAGACATTCTAGATAACAATATTGCAGACTAAAACAAATGTTTTGTCTTTGTTTTTATTCTTCTTTTATTTTATTATTTTTACTACTGATTTTCTTTTTATTTGCTTTTTCTTGTAAACTCCTCTGGGACTTTTTCTTTCTTCAAGGAGGAGGAATCTATAAAAGTTTTGCTTTAGAGAAGCAAATGCTCTCTTTAAAATGGAATTATTCTTAAACAACACCATTCCCCCCTCCTCATCTTCTGCTAGTGCTTTGTGTCACTGATGTCTGTACAGTGCTGGAAATCAGCCAGGGGGTTAATTATATTCCCAGATGACCTCACAGAGACAGGAGACATCACTAGATGTTTCATCACCATGCCAGTGCACACCTGATCCCAACAAAATGACCATGCAATTTTCTGAGGATGTGTCTTCTGTGCTGCATAACACCCAATGAGATTTATAGTTTAGTAGGAAACTAGGAGATTGTTCTGCAGCTTTTTTTTAATGTTGAGATGTTAGCCAGGGAAAATTCTGGGGCATCCATAAGCACGCTTTATTTTGTGACCAATCAGTGAGGGCTGCATCCCTTATTATGACCCAATTTCCAAGTCATGTCTTATCTAGATGATGGGTTGGAGGTCTTCTGCTATCCCTGTCTCCCCGGCTGTCCAGCGATTCAGACTGGATACTCTCTAGGCTGTGGTCCAGCTCTGTTTCCTTTTGCTCTATGGGAAGAGGGGCATTTTGACTGGGTCCTGTTGCCCAGTTCCTAAGAATCTGTGCTTGTGCCCTGCTTTTCTCCCTGGTCAGGATCCAGTCTTTTCTCAGTCGTGGCATGGGCTTCATTCCCAAGCAGAACAGGAAGGTATGTGTCTTTACTTTTTCCTTTCTTCGTTCCTTCTAGGAGTTGATCCTCCTTCTGAGATACAGTAAGACTCTCATATCCGTGGAGTATCGATTACAAATGAGTATCTATTGCCCCCCCCATGGATGCCGAAAACGTGGATTAGGGTGAACACTATTCTAATAGCGAACGCTATAAATAACATGGTCTTTTACTCCCTTTATCTATCTATCTATCTATCTATCTATCTATCTATCTATCTATCTATCTATCTATCTATCTATCTATCTATCTATCTATCTATCTATCTATCTATCTATCTATCTATCTATCTATCTATCTATCATCTGCCTGCCTGCCTGCAAGATTTTTAGCCGTGCCATTACCAGTGGTCTCTGAGTGGCATATGACAATATTAAAACTTTAAAAACATAAAAAACTATTACAAATAGTCAGACAAGAACTCAGGAGACCTCTGTTCAGAATCGCCACTGAAACGTTTTGGGTGTGCAGCAGTCATAGCTCTCCTATCAATAGGATGAGATCTTACAGTGGGTTATATTTTGGCCCCAGTAGGTTTGGGTTTGCACCAGCTACCCAACATGTCCTGAGTTCTTTCCACTCCAGGGTATGAGATCCCCCTCTCTCCACCTGCTCGCTTGCACCCAGCCATGGAAACAAGGAAGTTAGTTTGGGAGAACGTTGGTTCTTGTGTTTCTACAGCATGGTAGCTAACTATAATGCAGATTTTTCATTGGGGAATGATATGTTTTCAGTGTCTGTGCTGTTGTGATCTGTCAGAAAAGCAAAAGAGTGCGGGAAGGATGCACCAGCCGGGACTCGAACCCGGGTCACAAGCTTGGGAAGCTCGCATGATACCTCTACACCACTGGTGCAGTCAATATGAGCCTTTCCTTTCCTCATTAGGAAGGCTGCAGGGAACTTACACAGTGTAACTGTCAGGTGTTTGGTCACTTCACTGTCGCAAATTATTTATCCTGAGAAAGACGAGGCTTCCCTGAGACTGGCTGGCTGGGAGCCATTGAGTGCAGAGCAGAAGATTTGCCATTTCTAGGCCTGATGCCAGAAAGATGGCGAAGCTTCCAAAATTTAGTAAAATAAAAAAAAACCTTGATCAGCAACAGAAAGTCCCACTTTGTTCAGCCTGCAGTCAAAGACAAAAGAGAAAAACATCAACTGCCTAGCAGAGGATGGTTTCGATCCATCGACCTCTGGGTTATGGGCCCAGCACGCTCCCGCTGCGCCACTCTGCTGGATAAGAGGCAAGGGAGCTGGGAGGGCTTCTTGGCCCATTTGTCATTTGTAGCCTGTCTGGCCATGAAAGGTAGGTCTCCTGCTCAAAAAATGGGGGGAAAAGAGAGGAAGGGTATAGATTCTAGCCTGAGGTCGGAGAAGGCTAAGGCTATCTTTTTCTTCTTCCAAGCAGTACAAGAGAAAACAGCTAGTAGCCGTTCACAGCTGGTGACTCCAGATTTGGAAGTGATGTGAATCTGCTCCAGATTTATCCTGGATTTTGCCGGCATTCTCTGAGGTACTGAACCCAACGTGGGGGCAAAGATTCAGGACTCTGGACAGCTCCCCTAAAACCCCTGCAACAGATTCTCAGCACCTCTGAGTTGTTTGCCAAGCCTTGTCAGAAGTATTAGCAACTTTAAATATAGGAGTGAAAGATACTGAGATTAAACATGTGAACATTTGAGAATTTGCTCTCACTGTTAGCTTTTACCGGTGCTAGTTGTAAACACACCCTTTTCCCTTGAGTATTTTCAGAGTGTTTTTACACTAAGGTTTTAAAAAGTGGTGCTTTTAAAATACAGTTTTGAATGACCAAAGTCCTATTGTGTTTTCTTAAATTTGTAAGGGAGACTGTTCTGGTTTCCTGGTACTGCCCATTGGGCAGCAAGAGCTGGAAAGAATTGAATACTATTGTAGAAGCAGTTTTGTATATTTCGTTATAGCGAAATCGTCCTTAACGACAGACCTGCTTTTCTGGTGTCACAATTAAATAACACAGGCTGTTTCCAACTTCAGTTAGCACCTTGCAAGGGTTTCATCCCCCTCTCAGAGGACCAGTGCCTCTGGGAGATGCTGTGGGATAGTTCCCTAGCTGTGCCCACTTAATCCTGACCTAACCTCAAAGCCATGGAGTTGGGACTGCCAGGCTAACAGAGTGTGCTAAGCTGGGAGCGGGAAAAGGAGAACCCAACCAACCCAGTTTCTGTAGTGTAGTGGTTATCACATTCGCCTCACACGCGGAAGGTCCCTGGTTCAAAACCAGGCAGAAACATCTTCCTGTTTTAACAAGCTGGTGTCCCTTCTTCCCCATATTGAGGACATGGGAACGATCTTGGACATCAGGACACCCCAAGGGGATTCAGTGCAAGAGATATAGGTAGAAGATCTAATATGAATTCTGGTGTTTTTGTGTGTGTGTGTGTGATGCTGATGTTTCCTTCTGCTTTCTGCACATTGAGCATTTTCTACGGAACTGTATTAACTATATGCCCCCATAACTATCTCTCAACGATGTCAACAGATGTCAGACAAAAGTTTTAGGGTTACGTGCCATCAAGGGACCACTGATTTACAACCACCCTGTGATGAGTGACCTCCAATCTATCTTGGCCCTCATAGCTCTGCTCAGCTCTTGCTGTCTCAAGATGATGGCTTCCTTCATGAGGTTGATCCATCCCACATTTGGTCTTCCTCTTTCCTAGCTGCCTTCCGCTTTTTATGGGTCAAAAGTACATTGAAGCAATATTGACTTTGGCCTTACCAAAATGTGACTGTAAAAAGACCTGATTCATCACTGCTTGTTTTGGCTTTCCCTGCACCATCTAAACCATGTAACAGTTGTTGTGTTTACACAAGTGGCAAATCCTTTCTTCCCTGAGCCGTTCTGAAGGCAATTGGGTCATTCCTTTGTTTCTTTGCTTGATTTGTTATGCCTTCAGTGTGGGAAGACCTTGAATCTGTTTGCTGACAACGGTATCATCAGAGAGCTATTTTTAGTCACTAACAACATCCCACTCCGGTTTTGCAATGGTCTCAATTCCCATGTCATCCCTTTCATTATGTGGAAGCCATGGGAACTGCAGGACAGGAGGAAGAGCTCTTTAATGGCTGAACATTTCTGCCACCAAATGACATTGCCAGCAGAGGGAAACTCTCCGAAATTAAAGATTTCCTCCTCCCGTCCCATAGCTCTGACAGGTGTCATGCAATGAAAAAGGAGACAAAAGTAGAACATTTTTAATGACTGAAAATCACTTCTCAGACTTATTTATGTCAACAGCCAGCGTTTTAAGTGATGCTGTAAGCTACCCGTCTCTGGGAGACAAGTGCCATATAAATAAATGAAACAAACAAACAACCATTAGGGTTTTAAAATCATAGTATAGCAACTATGAAAATTTTGAATATTTAACTCTCAGACCTCTATATTTTTAAAAATAAATCTACGTACAAATCTAGTACTACTAGAAGCATTGGCCTCATAACTGCATTTTAGGAGGTGCCATGAATCCCCCTTGGGCTTTAGTCGGACCTTCACTAGGAATTGTCCATGATCTGCAACATGATTCTCAAAACAGGTTCCGCACCTTGGACTGCTTCTGTATAGAGCCCACTCAAATCTAGGACAGACTTCACAAGCCCTCCAAAATTCAGCTCACCAGTTCTCACAAATGGATAATTGTTTTCTCTTCTGATCTCTGGACTAAAAAAGGACTCACTTTCCTGAACCTCAGGGCCAACTCTGTCCCCTAGTTGTAAACCTATATTGCCTGCTGCCACTTCTCTTGAAAGGATGGTCTCAATGGCACCCACAGTGAAAACCATCGGAGCTTGAGTTCTGGCTGCCACAGACCTTTCCTTGTGCTCTTTTTCATTCCAAGGAGTAATAGCACAAAACCCGATATTTACACGCACCAGAATCTCCATTGCATGGGGGGAAAATGCTGCCAAGGGTGGGATTCAAACCCACATGTGCAGAGCAGAATGGATTAGCCACCTTCACTAATGTTACAGACGGGTCATTCACAGTCGTCCCTGGGTGGGCTCGAACAACCATCCTTCTGGTTAACAGCCAGACGCGCTAACCCTGGTGGTGGTACCACCCCTCTGCTTCCTTTTTCCTGAGGTTTCACAGACAGAGTGACTCTGTGGCCACTGGCCTGACAAGCCCTCTTAGCTCACTCTCTACCCAGCCAGAAGACGGGCACAATGGAAGTGCTCTGGGCCCATAACCCAGAGGCTTCAGGATCTGTCCTTCCAATGAGCACTCAGGGTTGATTTCCTTTAGAATTGATAGGTTAGTTCTCCTTGCAGTCCAGGGGACTCTCAAGAGCCTCCTCCAGCACCACAATTCAAAGGCATCAATTCTTCGGCGGTCTGCTTTCTTTATGGTGCAGCTCTCACTTCCATACATCACTGCAGGAAAAACCATAGCTTTGACTATGCGGACTTTCGTTGGCAAGGTGATGTCTCTGCTTTTTAGGATGCTGTCAAGGTTCGTCATCGCTTTCCTCCCAAGAAGCAGGTGTCTTTTAATTTCGTGGCTGCCGTCTCCATCTGCAGTGATCATGGAGCCCAACAGGGATAGAAGTGGCCAGGTTTTCTAATTTTCTAGAGTTCTGCTATCCAGATCTTGAGATTTATGAAAGAACCACAGCTTTGGAATGGATGAATCATGTTTCCTAAGTTAGCAATTCAAAAGCCTACCCCTTGTCCTTCTCCCCAATCTTTTTGGTTAAAATCACATGCAAACTTGTTTACTGTGAATCTGTGCTTTACAGGAGCTGCCCATGCTACTGAACAGCCTCCCCCCCAATGCCTCCATCACAACCAAAATAATAGTTCAGTGTGTTCGATAATTCAGTTTCAACTCCTGTAAAGTTCAAACAAACTGGAATGGATTCACAGCATCTCTGAAACTGGAGTCGCCATGTGCTACTGACTGCTGATACTTTATGATGTAATGCCTGGATAAAGGGAGGAGCAGAAGCCCTCTTAAACCTCAGGACCGCCTCTCTTCTTTCACTGTCACCACAACCAACCAACCACAATATCTTTTGGGCAAAACTGAGCTGGTAACTTTCAAGAAACCTGAAAAGCCAGCTTCCATGTCCATTTAAGTCTTCTTATACTTGTGTGCCTAAGTACGTATGTATATAGGTACTATATTCATTTTTACCCCTCCTTTGTCCAAGAAACGGAACACAACGTGCCTTGGAGAAAACTTTTACCCAGTAGAAGGCTAGAATACAATAAAATTTAAAATACAGAAATAAAATTAAACTCAATTCTATTACTTAAAAAAGAACTAGAAATAAAAAAGATGTAAAAGAAATAAGGTAAAGGTAAAGGTTCCCCTTGACAATTTTTGTCCAG